CCTAATCTAGCGATTTAGTTATCTACTGTTTAACGTAACAGGGGGGTTAGAACTTACTTCGATAATGGTTTTGAGCCTAGCAAGAGAGAGGACTCCATTCGAGATAGCGCCGAAGAGACTTAACGCTTCAAGCCAGTGAAGGAAGTGGTCGTGGAAAAACGACTCTATGGAGTTTCGTATTCGGATGTTCTTCTTTGATCCTACGATATGCCGTTTGAGAGCGTTTGCTAGCCGATAACTTCGGGAGCCTTGTAAATCGGCCTTATTCGTTTCACAAACATGGTCGACCCAATATGCACAGGAGTATCCTACTCCAAGTAAAGGGTCAAGCGTGGGTGGCCGCGCCTCTAGCTCACGGGTGAGCACTCCTGGATGCTCCAGCTGATATATATCTCGCCGGAGTGTATTCTCCATTGCCGTAATTGATCTGTCGACGATGCTGCGCTGAACAGTGTGTTTCCCGGACGGAAAAATCTTATCGACGGCGGTATCACTGACCAGGTAGTCCTTAGCCGATTGGTGAATCGGATATACGTAGTTATCCACCAGTGTAAGAAAGGAACCACACATGTCGATAATCTTCTCCAGGTCAGCGGTTTCGTACTTAAGCCCAGTTAACGTTCGGAGTTCGAGAATATGGAGTGGGCGGTACGCCAGGGTTGCGACTGAAAGCATAGCAAGGCACGAGTCTCGGTAGTTGTTTGTAGACTTGCTAATACCTCCCATCATCCGATCGTAAAGCGGCGGTAGCCCTGGCGGTATCTCGTCGATACGGCGAACAGCATCTTCGGCCAAGAGACCACGGATAGATCGTAATACTAGATCAACCCATAAAAAGGTACTCTCAGCCTTCTCAAGCAGCTTTTGTTGAATGACGGTTCGCTGGACAGGGCTGGATCGAAGTAATGAGACTTCAGCTACTTTGTAAATGATGTAGGTTTTAATCGCCTGTGATACGGCTTCCGAGTTCACCTCTAGACTCAACTTCGCCCCGGGGCTCTCAAGAGCGAGGTTTTCGTCGATATCGACCTGGTAACGGCTCGTAACGATCCACTTGAGACGATTTTCTTGGAGGACGGTTTCCCGAACCAGGCTAAGGAGGTCCGGCAGACCGTCTTCGCATTCATCGAGAGCGTCAACAGCCAAGTACACGGTTTCCGACTGTGAGTGTTGGATCATGTGCCTGAACACATTAGACAGCGCGTCGAAGGCGTTGGCGTTGGCGCTGTCGTAGGCCTTCTTGTCCATCCGGTTGTAGTCACTCTTGAGGTACGAAACGAGACTGACATCTTGGACTAGCAAGAGGTAGATGAGCCCTTTAAGGACGGCGACGGCATTGTTCAAGTTGCCATCGGAATTTTGGCAGAAGAAGAAGGACAAAGACGAGTTGGCGACGGGATGGTCAAGTCTGGTCTGAGGTCGAAGTTGCTTGATGATGGTAACCATCAGCATTGTCTTGCCCTTCCCGGCACCGCCTTTGATCCAGAGCAACTTGGACTCGCCGGCTTTCCACTCTAGGTAGCTGGGGTGGGTGAGAATCCAGTTGGACGAGGCTTCGTATAGCCCTCCCTTGGTTCTTTCGATACGTGCCTTGTCGATGGTGGGATCGGTCCACTTTAGCTCCCGGAGGAGGAGGTCTCGTTCGGCTTCGGAGTCTGTCCAGTCTTAGAGATGTCTTCAATCAGTCCTTTAAGAGGGTGGGGGAGGGTACCGTTTGGCGGCGGTGGCGAGGTTGGTAGTTCCGTCGTGCAGTGGCTCAGCAGCTGAAGATCCTCTAATATGCTCTTCATGAGCGACTCCACCATATCTCCTTTACCCAAGGCGCGGGTAGCAAGTACGTATCGCTCCTTTCTCGAAGCATCGCCCTGTGGGATAACATCCTTGAATATCTCTTCGAGTTTTGTTATTCTGTACTTGCAGCACTGTAAGACAGGCATTTTGGCCTTGCACCATTCCTCATCGGGGTTGGCGTCGTCCTTCGAGATGGTCTGGAGGATTTGGCGGATAAGGGGAAGCCGGGCAGTAACATCGCGAAAGGCTTGTGGGAGGCCAGATGCATCGTTAGCGGCGTTGTAGATTTTCGCAATTGCGTCAATAATGGCGATGACGCCAGAGATGATGCCGATGACCTCGGCGCCCGACATGTCTTCTGCTCTTGTAGCAAATGCAGTTAGACTCTTGGCTTGGCTAAGTAGGGAAGCCCGCGTCTTACCAGTGTAAAAATAAAAAAGAAAGTGTTTGAGAAGTTACTTAACTAGACAGCCTCAGATAGGTATAGCTGGCTTTGTTCTGAGAATCTCAATCGACGACGTAGAGTCAATGCTGGGCTGGATTGACGAGGGGTTGGGCTGCGATATCTTTGACGTCCCACGTCGCTTCACAGGGCCAATGAAGAAGTGTATAGTACGTGCGAGCGCTTACTCGACAAGCGCCAGCGAAGCGGCTTGACGCCCGACCAACAGAAAGATATTGGTTGAGGATGGCGCCGTGGATGATCGCTCTGGTGGGCTTTAACCGTACCAGCTTCGGCTTTTCGGCCGCCAAAGGATGAGTGGTCGCCTTCCATTGCGGGAAGATGGACGTATCTTGGCCCCTTGATCTGCCGTGCTCGGGCCGGTAAGGAGTTCCGTTTCTTCTTGAGGGAGCTGATTTTAGCAACCGCCGGCCAACCACGTGGCCACACGGACAATCAACGTCCCGAAACCCCAGAGGCCCCGCTCTTCTCGCATATGCGTGGTTCAATCTGGGCAATCTTGGTGCTGGGCAACGGACAGCACCGCGAGTTACATAACGATAGGATTGGTAGGTAACTCCAACCGCCACCAGCACATTCTAATAATTAATTCACAGTACGCTACGCTAGCTCTGTACGCTTCCGCTGCTTCCCAAGAGGACGCTGCCTCGGTTTCAGCTACGCTGGCGATCTGAACATCGGCCAGTGAATTACTCAGGATCATGTCTCGAATCTGATCATGTTGAGAAGGCGAAAGATTGGGCGCTATGTTGCGGAGGAAGAGCTCTCATAGCGAGTTTAGTGCTGCTTGCAGTACAGGTCTCCGTAAGCAGAGGCTGTGGGGATGGCGGTAAGAACCTCTTGAGGTGCTGCGCCGGAGTGAAGGCCTTGTCGCAACGAATGAGTCAACATCGTCATGTGACGGTCTGTGGAGTGCCAAAACTAGCTTGCTCGACGGGCGGCTAAAATTAGCGAATAGTAAACCTGCCCTGATTTGGGCCCCAAAGATGGAACAAACGGCCCCTGCGCGACGCCAGGATCTACCGCCTTGCCGCGCCGGAACCATCGCCATCCAAGACACTTAGCCAAGGAATCAGCTGTGTCCGCTTTTATCTATTGGCCGTTGATGGAGACTTCAATAGAATCAGATTCGCCTTATGCTTTGACCGACTGAGGAAGGCGGTCATCTATACTGTCAGCCTTTTCTTGCCACGGCCACTTCTAGCTGACCTGCGCGCCAGCTTTGGCTGAGTCATCATTATGCCCCGTTGTTGCATTATCCGTCCAGCTTGGTACTTAAGCGTGTGTGAGAGCGCACAGTGTAGCGGTTAAATACATAAAAGACCCGTGCGCTGGAATGATGTGAAAGAGAAAAGCGGAAGCCAATTTCGCTAGTGACTGTAGTAGTTCCGCACAGCCGCAATGGAGCGGGGAGTTTTCGCCAAAAAGAGCAAACTCAGCTGGATGGGTGCTTGGGGTATTGCCGATCGCCACTCGTCCATCTGATGTTTCTGACAAACGAGGCTTGGATGAACTTGTCAGAACAAGGCTGGAGCCTTCGCGTCTGCAAACTCTACCTCATCGATGGAAATCTTGCCGGCCACCAGGCTCAGTCGTTTGTCTTGATATTACTCTTGGGGCGGAACAGCGTTCTCAAATTGTCCGCGGCCTTTATTTGCTCTCTGCGCGTCTCGCGAAGTGCGAAAAAGCTTTCTGGGGTGTTGGGCAAGCCAGCTTTGGTATCTTCTGGTCCACTCCAGACACTCAGACCCGTGTAAGCTGAATCTCTGGGAACTACCAGTCGCAGCGAAGCTGTCTTGAACAAATCCCCAAGCAGCGGATGGTCATCTTTAGGCCAGGGACCGTAAAGAGGCGACTGGGTGATAAGTTCTTTGTGCTTGTAATTAGGCGCTGGGAAGACAGTAATGGTGAACGTCTTGATTGCACCGGCTCCAGGCGTGGTAGATGTATTGTTGCTTTCGGCAGCTATGCCATTTTCGGGTGCTTTCGGTCTTGGGGGTGAAGATGTGTTGCTGTGGATGGGAACATGATCAAACTGCAGCGGACTTCGTTGAATGATGTGTTGAGCGATGTCCCAGCTGCCAGCGACCGAGACGAAAGAGGAGGGCTCCTGTAGTTTATTAGCCAATGCGTCAGGCTACCAGAAGCTAATTGAGTGCTGGGCAACCCACGTCAAACCTCTTGAAGACTTCGATGTCGCCGTACTGCTTCAGCATTCGGAGCACTGCGCGCTGCTCCGAGAAGTTTGCTGGAGCCGGCTTCACCTTGAGATAGATGGACCGAGCCCTGATCGGCCCGGAATCAACGAGGAAACGGGCGGCTCGCAATGCCATCACTACCCAGCGTGGTGGGCGTAACTGCAGCGTTGGAATCGGAAATTTGTCGATTGATTTCGGATGGTTCAATCCTGTGACGGCATCGAATCCATGTGCACCCGAGCAGCGCAAGTGGGTCCTCACGCTATGTCCCCATTGGCTCCCGCAACCACAGGGTCCAGTTTTGACATCAAGCACCCAACAATAGACAAATCCGAAGGCAGTTTTCTCAGTGTTGTTTTCTCGTTAACAAGCAGGCACGGCAAGCAAGAGCCGAGCTGGAGCTACAACAAAGACCGAACACCGGCCTGACCGAGCATTTATACAACCCTAACCCTATTACGATAGGGTAGAATGCCAAAATAGGACACCCAGCAAGACCCAAAAAAAAAAACATTCCATTCCGCAGATTGCGGCAAAAGAATTGGAGATGACCCACACCCGATTTGAACGGATAACCTTTCGATCTGGAGTCGAACGCGCTACCGTTGCGCCAGCAGGCCTTTCTTCTTATTAATGATAGTCGGTCACGACACCGCCCCCAAAAATCTCGGGTGCTTGGCATCGTTTTCGCTATCCGGTGTGTCCACCCATTTGACCACAGCCGACAAAGCTCAACGCCAGACTCAATGCCAGCTTGAATCACCGTGCCCAATGAAGGCCGTGGCGAGTAGCATAGTGATGGCGAGAAAGGTGGGCTACCTAGCCATGCTCAACCCAGGGGCAATCGTAGCTGTCTCAGGACCAACTGATCGAGGTCGTGGGCATTGTCGACACGGGATGTTGCCTAGCTTCACGCTAGGAATCTTGACGGCCTTTGTATGGAGACCGGAGAACCTTTACATGCAACGGGTGCCAGCTTGTTCAGCCATGTGCAGCTCACTTGACCGAGATCGTGCCAGCCGGGCACAGGAATGACATCTCGGTCAGATGGGGAGGAAGAGTTAGCAGCGGCGATGATATAGCATCTGCAGTTACTAACCAATGACAACATAGCAAGAGGTGAGACAGATCTACTTGCAGTGAGCGGGACTATGGCGGTCTGAAGAAGTGCCAGGAGATGCCCGACTTGTATGATGTTGAAGATGCTAGGGTTGTGTTCTGACTTTCCAGCAAAGAATGGAAAATGAGAGGTCTGGGGATATCTAGCTCCTTTGCTTGCAACTATGCAAACTTCAAATAGCTGCAGTCAGTCAGATAATGGACCGGCCTAAAACATATCAAAAAGTTCAACGAAGGCATCCCGCAGTATGACACCCCCTTCGTTTTCCGTGTGCTAGTGTGCCTTTTATGACAGGGATACCTTTTCGGATAGTAGGAAAAGACCCCGAGACTTCGAAATGGGTTTGTAGATCACGGGATAGGGGTATCCCGAATGGGCTTATTGACTAGCAACTAAACAAAAAGGAGAATGTGCTATTGGGAGTCACTGCAGTTGACATACCAAGACCGTTTATAGAGAGGAGTCAATCTATCATGCTAGAAGACACTCCGAGTAGGTCCGGGTTGATGTCCCTCATCGTCTTGATGTGGCATACACTAGCTGCCCTGGTGAGCAGAACCTGTCGTCAAAACCTATTGTTCCCCTGTGAATCTCTACGTTTGCCGTTCAAATCCCTAGCCACAACACCCAACCCGGACTACGTCCTCATCAGCTATCGTGACTTCAACCGCCGGCATACCTGGTAAATCTCGGAAACCAGCCAGAGGCGGAAGATGTTTGTCGTGGACGAGGCAATGGGTAATCCCTCAGACTGATCCCCTCGAACCACAGTTTTCTTGGGGGCCGTACGAGAAGCCGGAAATGCTTGCAACGCACCGATCTGATCTTCCCACACCCCTCATACCAATGTACGACAGGATATCTCCTTGGGTCGAGACACGTCCATCCCTTGATACTCTCAAACAGTTTAGAACACCCATCCGCCCTCCAGTCTTCCGTTTGGTCCAATCCCTTATACCTCAGCCACAACAACCAACCCCTAATGAACCGTCTCATCCCTCTGCTTCCCGCCACAGCCCAAAACATATATCTCAGCTGCTCAGCCTCCACAAGGTGCGCATGCTGGATAAAATGGCCCAACGCAAAGCGGCAGTATCCCAGGGACTGGAAGCGGTCACCAACGATATAGGCTTCTTGAGTAGCGGAGCCGCACCACACGTCGTCGTTGCAAATGTGGTGAGGGTCATATACTGGCCACCACTTGCATACGGCACACGAATAAAGCCAATCCACCCAGCGGGAGAAACTGATCGGGTCTTCTTCGGGGAGGTGGAACTCGCGGGTCAGAGCCTCGAGGAAGAAGTCGCTATAGAGGGCCGCTCTGAAGTAATCTGAGAAGTGACAGACCAGGTCGGTGTGGACAAGGAATGTCCGAGAGTCCGGAGCAAGGCCGACAGTGATTTTAATGCGGTCCTCCGGGTTGGAGCACCTAGGGGGAAAGGGGGGGGGGGGGGTTAGGATATTGGGCTGGGCTGGCCTTGGTCGGGCAGGTATGGTGGACTTACAGATAGACCTCGACTGGGGAGAGGCTGCCGATGTGAAGGGGACATGCCTCGACGAACCTCGGGCAGATGGGAAAATAAGATCGTTCAAATGGTGATAGCAAGGGAGGCGGGAGCTCAGTGTCATTTTGCTGACTTCTCGAGCGTGTCAAACTCATCATTTCGTCCATCTTGAACCGCTTGGGTTTCTTGCGTGAACTAGGATACTCCCTTCAACGATAGACATGTACTTCTACCATTTCCGCGGCCCAAATCTTGCGGGTACCATTGAAGGCAAGAAGGCAAGGAGACAGAGGGATTCCATCTGGAAAGAGCGTTTGCTTCAGTACCTTCCCTGCTCAGTAAACACTCGAACCCTAATAACTCGGGCAATTCAGCTGGATACTTCGCGGCTGTCTGTGCCGTTAGACTTTCGCGCCACCAAAAGCCATACTAAGGTAAACAAGCCGACCTAGAGTAACTACGTTGGCGCATATCAACTTGATTGTTGTCGTCGAAGGGTAATAATCACAACGCCGAGGGTTACAAGTTGTGCGAGGATATGGGGGACGTCGAGATGGAATAGGGGGCCGGACTGGCCGCACAACAAGGTGTTGACACTCTGGCCAGGCCAACGACTGTGGCTTTGATGCAGCCTTCCTTCGCGATACCCGATACCACTGCGACCGCTGCCTTGCCCCTCCTTTCGCACGAAGGAAGCGAACCAGGAGTTGAGACGGGAATATTGACGCTCGATGCTCAAGGATCGCCATATCCTCTCGACAAAGGCTCGGACCATCCAACTCTAGGGCACTTTTCCTGAGCGAGCTGAATGTCATCGCCTCGGTCGGTCGACGTCTCCGAGTGCAGCCCATTGGAGATCCAGCAAGAACAACAAACTGATGATGTTTGGTTCCCCGGGCTGGAGATAAAGGTATTGCTTCTAAAATAAAAGGAGAAGGTGCAGAGGAAGCTCTGTTGATGACCTTGCTTGGTTCTCGTAGCATTGCCGCCGGGTGCGACAGATGCCGATGCAAGCCACATCCCAACTAGGCTATCAGGATTTGATACCCAGTCTGACTTACCCACGGTGAGCCTTTGGGGGTTCGCTAGCTCGGGGGTTTCCTCCAGCGCAGCGTTGGGCGTGTGCACGCGCGAATGTTTATGGCCTTTCTGGCGTGCTGGAACCGAGGGTTTCCTCTGCCGCAGCGAGACCGGCGGTCAAACAAGTTAGGTTACCCTCGCGGCCAGCTGGTCAGCAATTGAGGCTTGAAATAGGATAACGCGCCCAAAAAGCAAGGAGAGAGAAAAAAGCAACCCTAATCCGCGATTTGGTTACTGCAGGTCACCCCACTGAGTCTGCTTCTATTTGCAAGTTCCATGCCCGCCCAGTAACAGGCCCCCTTTATGGAGGCGTTCGGCATCGTGGACAGAAACAGAGATGATCGGCAATTCCCCCAAGAGTCAGTTCCCAAAAAGCTTCTGTTCCACGACCGGGAGCTTGGCCTGTGGAACGACAAACCCAAGGGCAAGCGCATTGCAATCATAGCTGCTGCAAGACCTATGCAAAAACAATGCAAGTTCTTTGACATTTATTTACTGCTAGATGACCGCCCGGGAACTGTGTGGTGGTGTGTGTGCGGGCGTTGGCGTTATCCCGGGGCTGTCATGGAATGTGTCAAGGACCTGTGGGTGTGCGGGATGGCTTCAATAGCAAAATAAACGGCGATTTCGCACACTCGCTCGCACTGTACCGATTACCTTCGGAAGCATGGATCGAAATGCAGATGCAGAAAGCGCCAACCATCACGATGCTGCTGGGGGCTGCATGCAACCCTGGAGATCGTCACTTCGCGAACTCGAGTTCTCTGGAGCTCCCAGAGCTGCTTTGCCGGATCGCCCAGTGGGCTTGTGGCCTGTGGGAGGGGGGGGGGGAAGAGAACATGGCGTTTCCTTTCTTCTTTCCTTCCTGCTCGGAGCCAGGTGGGAGTTTCTCAAAATGAACCAGGCGACTCTAAAGAGACTCACAAGACGACATTGTGCCTCTCCAGGCAGCTCCCCAATCATTTGCACGACGCTTCTGCACACCTTTGCGCTGAGATGATGAGCCACACCCGGGTCACCCAATTGGAAGTTCGAGGGGGGACCAGCCAAAGACCTTCCGGCAGGTCCTCAACCTGATCCACTGTCAGGCGGGCAGGGAAAGCCCAGCAGTCTGGGTAGGGTCGTGTATGCCTGTGCCCCTAGTATCCCGTCCGTTCGTGGACTGGGTGAGTTCAATGAATCCACCTTGGCAGTGGTTGTTCCACGTAGGAGCCTTCAATCTACCAAAAAATCCCCGAAACAGTTTCAGCTGAGAGGGTCATGTTGGTCGATTCGTCTGGGGTTAGATGAGCTTGAGCCCCATCCACTGACTCACCCATCCAGCATTGCTCCCAAAGTTCCGGGAGTCTGGCTCTAATTCAATGAAGGAAACTGAAGGGAAACAAAGCAACGGCACACGGCGATGGCTCCACGGTGTCGGGAATCGGGCCATTGAAGCACCGTCCACCTGAGGGAGCACCCGGCTGTCATATAGGGCTCGAAGCAAAGTATAGTAGAGCGGCACAAAAGGCACGGGACACGATAACAAAGACGGAAAAGACGCGATGTGTCCGAAATCGCCAACGTGGACGCCAAAACCAACGCTTGAGAGAGTGGAGACCGGATGAGCTTGTCCAAACGCTTGACATTCAGCCACTTCATCATCCGAGAAAAAATCGGGGCATCGGAGCGAAGGTCGGCTGAGGCTTGCGGTGCCAAAACTGGCTGGATGCCCAACTTCTAGTGCAATCTCAATTTCAATCCAGCCAACGGCTGTCTTAGGAAGCCACCGCCAATATAGCTTACAGGTAGCCTGGCTTGACTCTTGGGACTAGGGCCTACTTGGGACGGAGGAAAATAAGAAAAGCTGCTAGCGGCAACCGAATGTTAGTAAAGGGGGATTCTCGGCGGTATTCACCATCCTGATCCTTTGTGC